ATTTGAATTTGTAATTGTAGTTGTTTGGTAGATTTTAAGGACCACAATGAGAACTACTGGTTTTACCAGTTAAGTCATTATTAGTCATTATTATAACTTGCCTAAACGAGATATAACATTTTCTCATTTTCGCCAAATATTACTGTGGTTGCTATCTCCAAAGCAAATCTTCTAAGGCCAGGCGCGAAACGTATGCTTAATATTTGACTTTTTGGCACAATTTTATCCACAATTTCATAGCGCCTAAATGAATGAATTTATTACCAAGAAGTGCACAACATGCTTGTTTGGTTTGTTTTCATGTATTGTCGGAAGAAAAGTTTCCCAAAATCAGAAACGTCGCCCAAAAGTTGCCGAGCATCTTGGCGACAACCTGAAGTGTGACGGATGCATCCTGCTTTTCTCCCTTCCCCGTAGGGGCTAATGGTTGGGTTGCCAGGATTTTCCAGTCAGTCCAATAATGGAAGCTCCTGGCCGGATTACGCAAGCATGCAANAGAAACGTCGCCCAAAAGTTGCCGAGCATCTTGGCGACAACCTGAAGTGTGACGGATGCATCCTGCTTTTCTCCCTTCCCCGTAGGGGCTAATGGTTGGGTTGCCAGGATTTTCCAGTCAGTCCAATAATGGAAGCTCCTGGCCGGATTACGCAAGCATGCAACCTCCATTTTGTGAGGCAGTTGTTAACAAAATGTCTCGAGTTGATAATGTTTGTAATTTCTAGAAGGCTAGGAATGAAGAGGAGGCAAAATAGAGGGAGAGGGGTAGAACTTGATAGAGCTTTTACGGTACTTATGATGCGATTGACTCAAAGGTGAATGAAAGGATCATTGAAGGCCGTTAGTCTTCAACTTCAACATTTTCTTTATTTCGGGTAAATTTTAAGGCCACGTAGCACAATAATGCGCATGTGTAGGTTTGATACAACAATATAGCTTGACGTCGAGAAAACGACAAAACTTTATATATCATTAATATCCATTTGCAATTTTTACAGGTAATCATATGAATGCGAGTGCAATTAAGGATTCACACTACGGGTGATATTTGAAATAATTTTCAAATATCACCTGG